CTACTTAGTTTATGTCTTATATTAGTATTTCCTTTGCCATAATACCTCTTAGTGAGTCACAGTTACTTTGTCTAGTGCCATCTTGTCAGTTTCTGCTTCAAGTGCAATGATTACTAAGTTCTGTTTTAAACTGTTCTATCAGTACTTATTGGGTATTATGAACTGCAATATTTACCTGTCCTGTGACATATTTGCCTTGTTGCTTTGGGGATTCAAGTTTACCCACTGTCAGCAATTTCCTGTAAAACAGATATTACTTTTCACATTTAACAATGATGCTTTCACTGAATCCCCATTTATGGTCAACATATATGTGACCTGCTCCGCAAAAATGGGTAACAAGTCGCGCAGTTCCAAAATATGTCATGGCCTGTTCTATTTGGAGAGGGCAAAATGTCTTCAAAAATGTGATTTTGTGTTTTTTCCTCTATTAGCTTGTATAACATTTATGTTTTCAGAATTTGTGACTACAAACATGGATACTGATGAATAAAGATGCAAAATTGATTATTCAGTAGGAAATCCTACATAGCACTGGGTTTCCAAGTGCTACACCTTTCTGAGCTTTTTCTCAAAAAGTGCTTTTATTGAATCTGAAAATGTGGATATACAAATGTCAAAACATCTCTTGAACGCAGTGCACTACAGGGGTCATTCATAAATCAAATTGTAGCTTTTGATGATCTCAATCAAGCCATATCAAAAACTCATTACCTGAATCTGGCGACTTATTACCCATTTTTCTAGAGCCCGTCACATATGCAAGGTACTTCAAAATATTGTATACTCTGGTATAGGGATTTTCATGGAAAGATTTTTTCCTCCAACGTCATCATCTCAATAACACTGTATGTATGTTCTATTCGCAGCATACAACCAGCAAGCCATACATCTAAGGTACCTCTCTTTTAATAATGATGAGGCAATTTGCCCACTTAAACTGCTTAAAATCAATTTCATCTTCTTTTTGTCTGTCAAAAGGTCACACACAAAGCTCACAAACATAAATAAATAAAAATGGTTCAAAGCAGTGACAATAAAACAGAAAGGGGAAGAGTGCCATACACAGACATCATCTGACACCCTCTGCACAAACCCTGTGAGAATGATCAGAAACATTCCAAGTGCTGTCTAACAAAATGCTTAAATATTTGCCTCCGCAAAACTTGACTTTCTAGAACATGTCATTACTTTCTGATGGCTTGTACACCACAACATGGAAAAAATTAGAGAAGACATGTGGAACCCTCACCCTGGAAAGATTTTACTTTAATACCCCCTCCCCCCGTCAAAATCACTCGGGAATAGCAAAACCCCGGAAAATGACCAACCCCCCTTGAGGACTGTCTAGAGATACATGTAGCACAGCCGTTATTTCAAGATTAATTTCAGCAATATCTGTAATAACATTAGGCAGAAATCAACATTTATGAGTACATCTTGACCACCCCTAGAACTGTGGGGTTTGTCGTGCACCGCACTCCCTTGTACTGGGAGCACTGCAGATGATGCATCCAACAGTTCAGAGTGCGGTGGAGGACAATCCCCACAGTCCTGGGGGTACACTGTTTGACTGAGTGTCTGAATGCTTTGCCAAGAACATTTCTGACACAGAAAACTGAAGTTTTCTTACCCTGTATTACATGAAGATTTCCAGATTTAAAGATTAAAAGACTCAAATTAAAGGCTATGAAGGAAAGAATTTCATATACGGACACCGCTTGACACACTGTGCACAACCCAATGACCATGGCGAGACTGGTCTGAAAAGTTTTCTTAAAATAAGCCCTAGTATAAGCATGCTACCTATGCTTAGGCCATGAGAATGGCCCGTGTACTGCTGAAACAGCCGCCAAAAAGGTTCATTATCTTCAAAAAATAATAATTTCAGAAAAAATGTTCTTTTTCCTGTCTGGAATGGTTAAAAAAATAGCTGCAAAGTAAATTGGGAGTTCGTAGGGTGACGACATTGCCCACATACAACTGATGCAAGATGGACTGAGAGCTTTTCTTCTTATTTATTTCAAGGTTGGTTCCCTGCGCATGGATGAGTACTCGCTATAGATGTGCAGTATGTATACCAACTACTAAGCGGCAAATGACCACACATCAATGCAATGTATATGTAAGTTGTTTTAATTTTATATTTCTGTCCAGTAACATACATAAAAAGAAAACACTAAAGGTGTGCCAAAGTTAACTCACCATGAAAGCCATTTAATGTTTTCATTTTTATGGATGGAATGAATCACACGAGATATTGGGTGATTTTTCATGTTCAATATCTGCACGTAGTGCATGCACTGTAGGCACAGCGGCCCTTGAATTGCATGGCAACGGCATGCTGATATGGAATCATTTATTTGTAACATTTATTTGACAAATATATTTTTTATCGCTTAAAAATTTAGAGAACCCATGACGTTTTAATTTCAATGGAGGCTTTGAAATATCAGTCATTTACTTAGAAAACAATTTTTCAGAACAGTCTCAGAGTTTGTGCGTGGGGTGTCAAGTGCAAGTGGCGTCCGTATATGGAAGTCTTTCCCAACACTGCAGGGAACATAAGTGGCACTGAAAATGGAATTCTTCCGTAAGCCATGGTGAGCGGTCACGCTTGGCTGATGGCCATGACGGTACGGCAGGCCAGACGGCACGTAGGGCCTCGAGCTTGGCGCCTACACCATGTCCATCACACAACGTGCACAGTTCAGCGAAGTGCAACACGCAAAAACCAGAATCCAGAAAATTGTGAATTATCGGTGCATTCTATAAAAGTACTTACTTTGTCGCTAAATTTCTTTTGTTTGTGAAATCATTTTGGGTAGCCACCGTTAAAAAGGCACAATTTCTGCGAGATGTTCGCCACAAAACTCTTACTACGCAAGTCGCCATTTTTCTACTTGTAGCGCCCTCTGTTGATGTATACACGCAACAGGCGTTTTACGAAACGGGGCCATGGGATAAGAAAGGCTTTGGCTAGGTTTGTGCTTAAACCCGGGGCTGGCTAGCCGACGCCGACCGCCCTAGCCCCGTCCCTACGCCTCGGAGCCCCGTTTCGTACCTGATGACATTGCAACGTTGAGGTAATGAGCCCCCAGTTGGACCAAGAGAGGGGGCGATTTTCCTGGCAACGCAAGCTCCTTAGGATTGCAGGGCACGGACGTGTATAATAAAATCTGGACCCGCAATGCCTTTAATCAGCTTATAGAGATCATTGAATCCACTCGCTGCCATTTTACCGAGCCGAATACAAAGCTTTCCTGGCAATGCCCGCCTTTGTTCTTCCTGACGTCAATAGAAGGGAGCCAACCCACGCATTTGTATTCGGCTCGGTAAAATGGCCGCTGGTTGGCTTCTTCTTCATACAAAGGCGTTGCAAGTCCAGGTTTTTATATACGTCTGTGTTGCAGGGTAGTAAATCGGTCCAAATTTGCCTGCGCAGACTGAATCACGATTTGTAGCTGTGAGATTCACTGCCATTAGAGCATTTGTGGCACGTGGACTGGGCAGTTTGTTAGAAAGGTGGATGAAATCCAGGGGCAGGACTTTCAGTGTGTATTTCTGAAGTATCGGACCAAACGTGGCCCTCCAAATTGCTTTATTTTGCCTTGAAGTGTAGGCATCAATTTCCAAAATGGCAATGGGCCTCCTGACTGTTTTGAGGGGTGATTTTCTCTTAAGAGAAATATCTTCAAAAGTGATCGTTTAAGCCACTAACTTGAAAGGAAAATGGAAGATGAGGAAGTGAGGTTTGATTTGATATGTGTCTTGATCACCTGTGAAACTTGTGAGTATTTCTCCTGATTTTTTTTAATTGGGGATATTTATCACTCTTGTCTATGGCAACTTATTTGGTCTGCTGGACCCTTAGGAATCGCCCTTCGCTGGTTCTCAAGCCACTACAGGTGCTCGCTTTACAATCGCATCGCTTCTGCTCAAGGCAGATTATGGATTTTTCCCGCTTACTTTTCAACCTTTTATTTCTTTCAAATTCACGGTTAACTTCAAACTCCAACTTCGTCTTCCCCGAAAAGGCATGACCTTTCATATCCCCCTGTTTAATTTCGTCTTTGGTAGCCCATTTTTTTGCACTTTGAACGGTTTAAACAACTTCAGGCATTTTACCAGATTTTCTTTCGCAGTTGCCAAACGTATGGCCTACATGAATTCCGTGATTCAAGATACAATGCTTCAAATAAATTTCATTTGAATTGTCACATGACTGCATGTTATGTTGGTGTTTAATTTTTTTATTCATGTTTTAAATATATTTTAATATTTCTATTTTGAATATCTTTCAAAGTTGTCCTACATAACTTGTTTCATGATTTAAATATGTTTACGTTATTTCTGTGTGTTTAGTACATGTAGGTCGCTCATTAAAATACGTCTCTAACCTTAAATGAGAATATGCAAAATTATGTCATTTTTCATACCTATTTGTGTGTCCAGATTTTTCGACAATCTTGTGGCAACATCTGGAAGAAACCTAAGGTTTATACACTGGCAAATGAAATTGTGCGGGCCTACTTTCCACTTTATGCAAGAAATTTAAAAAATCAGGCCTGTATATAATGTACTTATGAGAAGCAGAATGTATTCATATTTTTCATCTTTCAGAAACAGTCGATTTAATTCTAGACTTTTAGATTAGGTGATAAACCAATAATTTATTTCTCATCTTGCAATGATTCGTTTTAACAACATTTATGCAAGGCTATACAGCATCCCATGAATTTGATCGAAATATTCCTTAACTCGATTAAACAAAGACTACTTCATTCCCAGGACGGATCCAGAACCACATTTTTGAGGGGTCAAACCATTTTTTGGGGGGGGGGTTGAAATGTTTTTCATAAAATCTGTTATAGCCTTTCTAAGGGGTAAGACTTCATTTTGGGGCTACATACTTTTTAAGGAAGGGAATGAAATATGCCAGAAATTCGGCCTTCTATTATTATCTTTATTATTATTTTAATATTTGTGCTCCTTATTGAATTTTTGAAACTTTCAAATAGAACCTCCAATTCCGCATGCTTCTGTTTAGCACTTGAAAAAAGTGGAGGGAATTAAAAAGTTGTCTATACTCGTCCGAACGCTGGGAATTCACGCCGAAAGTAAGACTTTCTTTGTTGGAAAACAAAGCTTTATTGGAAAGCAAAATCTCCTAATTTCAAAAGAGCCTAAACCAATCTAAAACCAATCTCACTGCATCCCGCCCTCAGGACACTTTGAGAACGATTGCAGGCCAAAATTAATTGCTAAGGTCTTATGAGATCGTTGAGATATTCGCCGTGGTGGGATATCAATATGCCGTGGCAAGAGCGTATTAGTCAACGGACATTAACTTCCTGCGACAAGATATAGGAAGCTGAGGAATGGGGTTGGAAGAAGGTAAATCAGCTGGCGTGAGTTTTACGTGGTTCATCCACCCTGTCTGTTAATTGATTTTTTTTTCTTTAATGGATTGAAATAAATGTATGCGGGGACATTTTCTCTGCGCATCACTGTAACCTGATCGATCAAGTCGGAAGTGTTTGGCCTTCAGCAGAAAAGTCACAACTCGTGTGGTTTTCGGTCCCTCTATAAAAACTTTTAGGGTTGTCATTGAACTTTGGTCCGTCCCTGTGACAACAAGCCGGAATGAGGAGGCATATTTACCGTCGAACCATTTTTTATTAGCAACAACAGGATATTTCGTCAGAGCACATTCAATGGTAATGGGCTATTATTCCCTGTATTTACATGGGCATATTGCTTGTTGACTGAGGCGTGTGCAAACGCTATGGAGTTGGAATGGTAGACAGATTGTCAGAGAAGAGAAATAACGCGGAGCAGTAAAAAATGGCATACAAAGAAGTGAAACCAGCAGACAGATAAGTATTCGTAGAAGCTGCCGAATTCCATCCAGCATGAGCTTTTAGTGCCAGAATTTCCTAAACATCAAGGGAAGGAAACGACAAAATAATGCTACGCTCGCTCAATATATCCGCCGTTGAATTGATTACGAAGCCGGTTGTGCCGCTACTTCTGGTGGCGTACCACTCGGTGACAGTGTGTCAAGCACAAACGGCGGCTGGTCCGACAGAGTCTGCGGGTAAGATGACATATCATATACCTTTCCGTTTGCAGTATGTAGCCTGAAATTCCCTCAACTTATTCAGCCACTAGGCCTACTGCGGAATGAGTAAATTATGTCTGGTTGTCTGTCCAACTGACACTCGACTGCACTGAGCTTTTTGTTCCAGTTTACAGAGACAAATTGCGAATTATTGTGATCGACCACTGGCGGCATTCAGGTCACTAACAGCGAAAGGTCTACCCTAAAAGGTCCTTATAGGACCTATGAAAATGTTAAAGACACCCATAGAAAGTGACTTTCCCCTTGTGGGCATTTTATACCGTTGTTCACATTACAAAATTGGGTCCATATATTTCAAACACATTAAGTGCAGCTGCTTGTATATTTTCTACTCATTTCAAGATTTGAATTAGTCCGGGTGTATACTGCACTGCGGGTGGAAACAACATCCACGGGGGGTGGACGTCTCCCAGTCTCCCCCCCCCCTCCGCCGTACTTATACGCGACTGTGTAATTCTACACGATGTATTAAACACACCCATGCCGCTTGCTCACAGCAGCACCAGCCTGATTTTTAACACCCTGATTCGAGCCATGTTTGATTTTTGTTTAGGTATTCTCGGCCTGTCAAAGGATGTGCTCCTGTGGATAATAATCGGCATCTCATCCTCGCTTGCCATCACGTGCGTGTGTATTGTCGTTCTCGTTTGTATTCTCGTCTGCAAGAAGAGAGCCGCCAAGACGAGCTTCACGTGAGAACCTGAGTTTATACAAAACCCCTACACGATTACTACGTTTGTAACGTTCTCATAAATGTTATTCTGGTTAAACAAATTTTGGCAAGTTTAGATGCCACTTACGTTTGTTTTTGTTTCCTGTTTTACATTATCTATAGTAAGGGCCATGTTTTGGAATAACCTGGCATTGCAAATTGGATTAGTGTTATGATATTGCATAATGAACAGTTTTAACAGACTGAGAAATAAAGGTGGATTTGCTATCGCTGTTGATGCTGTAGTGGCTGGTCGGTCTGTCAGATATTGTAGCGTTCACACTTTTACTCTCTCGCTTTTCAACCCTACAGGTCAGCATCAGCGGTGAGCTCATCCATCCATGGTGATGCTGTCAGAGGTATGGGTCTGAGTCGGATCGTCACCGAAACACAAGAAAGCGACAGCACCGTCAACGGCCCCAAACCAACGGCTAAGATTGGTATAGGCGACAAGGTGACGAGCGATCTGCAAAATACAGTCGAACTTGTGCCGCTTGATCAGCGGTAGAACTCAAAGACTATAACAGTGATTATAAAAGATTATAACAGTGTTTCTTTAGCATAATACCTTGTGGGTATAGTGGCGTCTTCAGCGGGGGAGCAAGCTGTCTCCTGATAATGTAAGGACATTTTTTAAGGAACTGAAAACACTTCCTCCTACGAAACGAAATTACCAGTTTTCTTTGAGGGGATTGAGGATTCTTTTTTGGACAAAAACAATGAACTGCATTTTTTTTAAATCGTAGATTGCCTTCATGGACACAAAATTTTTAAAGGGCCATTGCTCGTGGAGACCTGATCACAAACGTTAGTACGGGTCCACAAAACTTAGGTTATGTTAACCTTGTGGGGACTACACAAGGTTCTCATACAAGATATAAAAGCAGTGGACGGGACAATTGAAAGAACTATTTGTGGGTTAAGGTAAGCTGCACCGAAATGTCGTCTTATTATCTCGTATATCATTAGCAATAGTGTGTGCAATATTTCCGTATTTGGTTGGCATCCACAGGTAGTATTTAATTTGGATCTCTCGTCAATGTGGCTTGCATCTCACGGAGATCAGAAATACGACTGTTCTGCCTATAAGACGAAACACGGAGGAGTGTTGTAGGTGTTACGCAAACGGGTCTGGGTTTCAGTAACACAGCTTAACTCAGTATATCACACGCCAGCCAGATTCAGTCATGGGCGACGATAGCTTTTCAACAAAAGGAGGTACACGTGGGTCAAGAAAGGCCATCCCACGCGCCGGGGTGAATTTAGTTAGTGCTTACAAGGACTACATAGATCGACGCCTGTTCAATCCAAACACGGGCCAGGATATTGTCCACACACGTAACTTGAAGTTAGATCACGTAGGAAGGGCTCTTTTTAACTTGTCGGATTGGCAAAATCGCCAAGATTCGTCAGTCGAAAGCGTATTCATCACTCACCCATGCTTTAAGCATCAGTGCTTTGTATGATAGTTGTTGCCAATAGTAGCTTTGCGTGCTTCTCCGTGCTGGGTTCTGCATACCTCAGAAAGTACATAAAGCAAACATTACAGTTTAGGCGCCTTTCCTATGGTGTAGAAGCGGACATGCAAACGTCGTGCGTGTGAGTTCAAACGATCGTGTTTGCGAGTTCGAACGTCGTGTTTGTGACTTTGAACGTCCTGTTTGTGAGTGGTCAGGGCCAGTTTCACAGATCATTAGCATGATTTTTTCCTTGATAAAAACAGGAATACCAACCAAAATGTACATATGTTGTTTATTGCTTGTGAGTGGTGTTCAGCTGATGATTGCTTTAAAAAATAATTAAATGGGTTTTGGTTGGTAATCCTGTTTTTATCAAGGGAAAAAGTCATGCTAAAAATCCATAAAATTGGCCCGACCACTCACAAACACGACGTTTAAACTCACACACACGACGTTTGCCTGTCCACTTTAGAACACCATACATTTCACATGTATGCTTTTTGGTCCATTCTGCATCTGCATCCGTTGGCAGATTGAAACATGGCCTTCACTGACTTCTTTACAACGAAGTCATTTTCTTGTGTAATTTTATCATAACTTTCAGCGAACACTAGCATTTGTTTTAGCGTGTTTATTTTCTGTTAAAGAGAACGTAGTAATAAAAAAATTTTAACGAACATTTTTTATTGCCACCTTTTTAAATGCCATCTTAAATGCCATTGTAACGGATATTTGCGTCACCAGGGATTTTCCTGCGACTGTTCACCAGGTTGTGTTGAAGTAAAAGGAAGCTGGGAGTATAATATTTACAGCGCCAATATGATATTCCATAGGGGGCGCTCTACCTATGCCCTATTCTGTGACAGAACCCTCCAAGCTGGTGTGGGGATAGGAAACTGATGCCACGCTGCATGACGGATGAGAGTGTGCCTGCACGAAAATGGCAATTCAATTGAAAGTTGTTTTTGTAAACTTCTCAGGCAGAGAGTGCAATTCACTCAGTTTGCCAATTGGGTTGGGCCAACTGTTGGTGAGTCATGCTCCAGTGGAACACTGTGACTGGCTCGGTCTAGCAAAACGCGCTTGTGGTACTAGCAAGACGCGGACAAAGGATGCGGGATCGGATGAGGTCATAGCGCCTCTGTAATAGGCCTTGAGCTCTACCCGTTGTAATAGGCGATGGAGAAAAAAATCTTGTTTTTGGCGGCCGCCTGGGTTTTCTCTCCATGTCCCACGGACGTATATAAAAAAACCTGGACTTGCAACGCCTTTGTATGAAAAAGAAGCCAACCAGCGGCCATTTTACCGAGCTGAATACAAAGGCGTGGGTTGGCTCCCCACTATTGACGTCAGGAAGAACAAAGGCGGGCATTACCAGGAAAGCTTTGTATTCGGCTCGGTAAAATGGCTGCGAGTGGATTCAATGACTCTATAAGCTGATTAAGGGCATTGCGAGTCCAGATTTTATTATACACGTCCGTGCCATGTCCCCACTGCAGTTGAACAATAAATCTTGACAACGTACCTTGACTTCACCGCAGTGGAACAAGTCCACTTTATAAACAGGGGTGCGTGATACAAACTCTCTGAGTGTGAGCACATAACACATGAGCATACACATACATTTAAGGGCCTGGGTTTGCTTCTCTTGTTTGTTTTTGAATTTATATGTGTTTTTTTTCTTTTCCCCCTTTTTTTTTGGGGGGGGGGGTTCGCAGTTCCTTCCAACAATTTCGAAAATATCCCACAAAATACTTGCACTTAGGCACACATACATTTACCTACTTTGAAAACAGCGTCCGGCAAGTCTGGCACACCAACGTGTACTGGTCATACTATAGAGGCTTGAAATGCCACTTTTTACACAATTCTTATCATTACAGCTCTTTCTTATTGTACTTCGTCATAAAATATACATGACAAGAATTACCAATACCTAAGCTTTCTAACCATATATAATAAATACTTTTGCAACGAAATCTGAGTGGGTAAACCTGTCTGACAAATACCGCGGAGAAAATCCACGTTGAGCAGCAAGGGCGTCGACCGTCGGTTTTAATGGAGAATCCACTGCATCGCTGTTTGAACCTTTTCCTTTATGGTCTTTTTGACGATGGTAAATTTCGTCCAACTGGCATAAAGTTTATATCAAAAGATTCCTTAGGGTTTACTCCTTATTTTAGCGTGAGGACGAAAAGATTAGCCAAGTTGGCTGTAGACTTCTGGATGTTCAAATCTCCCAAGAGCGTTCAAAATCGAGAAAAAAATTAGACTCGCACAATGAACTTCGACGTGGTACCTACGTTCCAGTCAAATTTGACGGACTCAGTTTGGATTTTAACAATATAAGTTTGAATCATGTTAAAGCATATGAATCAATCTTATATACGCTGAAAGAACGAAATTAATACCACGAACGGTTGAGAAGATGTGAATCAATATTACTCTAAGAGCTGGGTTATTCATTGTTTCCAGACTGTACTACACATGACCGTGGTTGTTCCCAGAGTTGTTACTAATGTTGCGGCTTCGAATTTATCTAAGACTCTGGCAGTCACTTTATGGAGTCAACCACGCCATCTCATGCGGCCGGCTTGTTTTTGCCTGAATACTGACATACTGAGCGCAAGAAGGCGCCTCACGGATGAGTACAGTGTAGTCTTGGCCGAGTTTCAGTTGTCTCGTTTACCAGACGGTAAAATAAGGCTTTGATTTTAGTAAGAAGTCAGGTGTTATTTTTGTTGCATAAATCTCCAAGTATAGATTTTCCCCTTCGAGTGAGCATATTGGGGCGAACTGGTCAAAACTGGTCTAGTAATCGAACGTATACAGAAACTATACAGTTTGTTATAGTTTGTGAAGAGCAGTCACGTCCCGCCGGATTTATACCCCGAAATCAAATTACGAAATTTGGGCCACTAATCTTGACTGTCATGTATATGAGATGTGTGTACTTTGGGCTTAGGTTTTATGTATAGGCCTGCATTATTTTACTATAGCTGACTTCCTATCAGGTCTGTAGAGCTCTTAACATTAGCATTTGGATTATCAAATTTAAGATATTATGTAAACAGCAACCAGTGTGAATCTTGTGTTTGGAAGAAAACAATAATGACAATATGAAGGGTTTTGGTTCCTTTCATTATGGTTTTCAAGTAAGCCTATTAATTAGTGTCTCCACGTAGGTCTAATTTCATCTCGGCTGCAGCTGACTGAAACTTCGGCGGAATGTTGGGATTTAATTCATAAATATCGACAGGGGTTTTCCAACTGGTATCTAATTCATTACTGTTGACAGTTGGTCTCTTGTAATCCCCTCCCAAAAAAACATAGCATTGAGAAGGAGATGGCAAAGTACTGTCAACATGCATGGATATAGTTCACGTTCCATGCGCATAAGGAGTTGTTAAAACCGTCACCCTCAAAATATGTTGCAAGCAGCACACTCGGCCGGGGCTGTGGGCGTAGGCCTATGCGTGATGGATAAATCAGTATATTATCCATGTTTTCACAATCATACCAAATTTGGGCGGGAACCAGCGAAGGTTGGTGACAGCAACTGACGAATGGGTGTCAACCCGAACCGCCTACCTTTTCTGAAATGAAACTTGCAACTGTTCTGTTACTCATAGGCCTATTCTGTTTCCATTGAGGGTGGAACGTGGGCTAATACCTGTACATTGTTACCTTGGCTTTCAGCGAGAGAGCTTGAAAGTGAGCTTTCAAGTGAAAGTAAACGAAGTGAAAGGGTCCGTTCATTCATTTTTTGATTGGGAAACGAATATCAAACAATCAAAACCATGTCGTTTTCTGTTTTTTTTTTCGATTTGAAACGAAAAAGAGGAAAAAAGTAGAAGTTGTTTCTTGATTTTCATATTGAAAAAGAAACACGAAAATGTTTAAAAATTTTACTTTAATTGCAATTTCATTGGACTGCACACATAATTCGAGGAGGCGTCACGGACGTCTCTGAGCACTTCCCAAAAGAAAAGTTGCGTTTGAGAATGCGAGAAATTTGGGTTGATCCATCATTTACTGTAGAAGCAACTAATCCCTGTATTACTAGTTCAGTCATGATAGATCTTTCTTACACTACAAAATGAAAAATGGAGCTGTTTTTCATTCTCCAAAAAAGTAGATCAGTTTATCATGATGTTATTTGAAAATAGAACGCGATTGTCATTTTCAATTTTAAATGGAAGACAAGAAAGGACTTATTTCTATGTTTTCAATTTGCTGTTTTTAAATCGAAAAGTGAAGAATGACTCATTTTTTATTTTCATTTCTCGTTTTTAAATCGAAAAACGTAAAACGACTTGTTTTCAAAGAGATCTTCGTTTTCAAATAGAAAAACGAAACGTACACGGATCGAAGACGTATTTTGGTCAAATATAGTTCATTAAGAGAAACAGTAGGCCCTATGTTCCTATTAAAGGTATTAGGTTATGTATGATTTCTGGAATTGAGTCAAACTTTATACATACCTCGACAGTTGCAAAATATGATATTTTCATTCGAAACAAACTATAGCGGATATAGATACATTCTTAAAAACCTGGTGTTAAATCAACACTGCGTGTGGTGTCAGGCAGTATCACTACAACCTCGATATACCATGAATAATAATTAAGCTAATATTGCAAGTTAATGAGAAGGGGTTGTTCTTATGAAAGGACGAGCTACAATAATTTAATTTTAGTCTGTTTATTGTTTTCATTTTTATTCTCAAGACAACATATTTGTGATAAAAACTTGCCTTGGGCATAATTCAACTTCGAGGAGTACATGCATTATGCTTGAACAGACTTAACCTCTCGTGAAGTATACTCGCACGAGTCTAAGGTGTACTCTTCGTATGAGACTTCCAAAAGCCACACGACTACGGCTATTGCTCCAACGGCAAAAGCCGAAGCCGCAGCACAATACCTAATCCGGACCCAGCCAAATCTGACAAGGATAGCCTATCAGTAAAGGCCCATCTTTATTTTGAAGTCTCAAACTTTTAACAATGAACCACTTAACCCCGACCTGTACCTGCAAGGACGCTTCCTTTTTTTTTTAACTGAAGGAACTCCCTGAAACCCTTCAAGGAACAAAAAGTCGCCAATCGGCGAGACAGCCACAAAGAATGACCTTCTTGGGTCGAATTCGCCCCCGAAAGTTAAAACCTGCATTTAGCCTTTAACAATGTAAAGGCTTCTTGATCGGTAGAGGGCTTTGTGTCCCCATTTGTTACCAATTGTTTCGGTAGTTTTATTTACATTTTCTAGCATCATTTCACTTGGGAAATCGAATGCAAAAGTTTGAGTTGAAAACTTTGGCGTATCTATGAAGCTTAAGTTCTGGATATCACGGTTCATCGGAGGGGAGCATCAGGGTGATCTGATAAATGTTTCAGTAAACTGCAGAAACTGACAGACTTCCATTGCAAATAACTGCATTTAAGGTAACATGTTTAACGTGAACAGTGCAGCGACTCAAAAACTTGCACCTCTCTTACACCAGGGCATGGTCCGTCACCGCAGACGGGGACCAGCCCCTACCTGTTGGAGGCGATATCGGGAAGTACTTATACTGTCGAATTCGCCCCCGAAAGTTAAAACCTGCATTTAGCCTTTAACAATGTAAAGGCTTCTTGATCGGTAGAGGGCTTTGTGTCCCCATTTGTTACCAATTGTTTCGGTAGTTTTATTTACATTTTCTAGCATCATTTCACTTGGGAAATCGAATGCAAAAGTTTGAGTTGAAAACTTTGGCGTATCTATGAAGCTTAAGTTCTGGATATCACGGTTCATCGGAGGGGAGCATCAGGGTGATCTGATAAATGTTTCAGTAAACTGCAGAAACTGACAGACTTCCATTGCAAATAACTGCATTTAAGGTAACATGTTTAACGTGAACAGTGCAGCGACTCAAAAACTTTGGTCAATTTATATCACAATACACCAAAAGAGTAGAGGCCCGGGTGAAACTAACCCCGTGGTATTTTGCTCACTGCAGTTGAAATTCATTGCTTCTTTTTAAAATCATCGGCGCGTGTTGGCCGCGCAGTTCGTTTGCGATCATGATTTAACACGTATTCCCGTATAGCCGCACAGCACTACTATTGGGACAGTTCTGTGTGTGGCATACATAATTAGCCTGCGGTACCTCCAATCATCAGAAATTTACTGCTTTGCGTTTCAAAACGGAGCTCATACCAGGCTATGGCCAAATAAAACTGAAATATCAAAGAAAAGCTGCTCTTTCGTGAAGGTACAAGGCCAGGGGGGAATCTTTTGTACCCAACCAGAGTAACAATAACAGACCCGACGTTTGAGAGAAGGAACTATACAGCAGACCTCGTTTGCATAACTGTGAACAGCCTCCCTGTGGTATTTTGTATATTTTATGATCGCAGTCAAAGGAAAAGAATCCAGTTGAAAAAAAATTGTATGCCTCTACCGCACACACTCACGGCAGTCCCGCAGAAACAATCGTCGATGTGAATGAATTTGTTCCTCGATCGTATAGGATTAAAAGCGACAACCCACAAGATCATCGCCTCTAATAATTCCTACGGTTCGACTTACCAACGAAAGCCTGGTGAGTTGGCGAGTCACCATGGATTTTAAGATCGGCTCAGGACTATTCCTGTGCCTACTCTCAGTGGCTCTACTGCCGGTCGGTTTGTGCCGGTCTGCCGGGGCGCCATTGGAAGCTTGCACCTCTCTTACACCAGGGCATGGTCCGTCACCGCAGACGGGGACCAGCCCCTACCTGTTGGAGGCGATATCGGGAAGTACTTATACTGTCGGAGGAACTGTTACAGGTTAGTGCATCAAGATACTGTTTTCTATTTTAAACTAGGCAAATCTTTCATCTTGTAGTTTCAATGAATTTATGAGAACAGCGTGTAAAGTCGTTTCATATGATCTGGAGGGAGAATTTGATTGTTCATTTCCTGTTTATTTAGAGGACGATTTGAAGAGGGAGTATATCAATTCCGTTACCAAATCGTTTAAAGAGCCCAATGAAATAAATAGCTTCAGGGCTCAGAAAGACCATGCCATTTTCAAAAGAGAGTCCTCCAATCTATAACTTTCCTTGCACAAACTGTTTAATCACACCTTGAAAAATACATATGAAATAGGACAGAATTTTTAAAACGATTCCACAAACACTGGTAAATTTGATGGCTAATGTTTTCTTTAAGTTATCTCTGCACGGGCTGTGCAAGCGTAAATAAACAGGCAATAAAGAGTAATTAAAAAAGAACAATAAACTGGAAGCAAAGAAAATTAAACATAACCGAGACTTATGTCTGTCATGTCACCCCCGGAATCTGATGCTCACGTAATGCCAAGAATTATGCAGTCATTTTTAAATTGAACAATAATAGACAATTCCATGTGTGGCGGCTTTTCTTGAGATCTTCATCAATTCAGTAAGCGCTACTTCCTTATATATACGTACGTATTAAAACTGATTTTTTTTTCAAAATCCTGAGAAAACTCGCCCACGATCGAATTCTTACATCTTTTGATTTATCAAATTTTAATGATGATAAGATCCAATCAACCTCCACCTTTCAAAGAAGAGATCTTTATTGCCATGATTGTCATTCCGTTTCATTATTTGAATTTTCATTTGTGAGAATACCAAGGAAAATGACTTCCCACATTCATTAAACTGCCATGTATATATTTTGCGATTTGGATCTCTTTTGTGCCATTGACACAACTTTAAAACAGAAAGGAAGCATGTTTTCAAATTTCCATGGCATTTCTTGACGTAAGCCGACCAACTTCTGATATTAGTTGTTATTCCATCACACAGAATCTTTCCTCTCCCATTGCACATATGAAGGCTCAGACAATTCTTTGCATCAACACAACCGGACACCGGCTGTAGGTCTACGGAGGGGCGGGGCAAGTTCGCGATTCCTTAGAGGGACGGATTGTCTTTTGATTTTTTGTTCAGGCTTTAACGGGTTCAAGTTGAACACGAAACTGTCTTAATATATTAATATAATCAACAGGTGCAGCTCAAACTCCTTGATGCGTCGGTACAGAATTCATACGTTAATGAACATCTGTGCGCTCGACGAATCAGTAAAGTTAATTAATATCTTGGTGCATGAGTGTGTGAACAGTCCATATCATTCGGCCGCAAACTCACTGTCGCGATGAGCCAACTCAAACCGCTGATTTTGTCTGTGTCAACATGCGCCATTGCGTTGCCACGCGCAGCAAGGCGAGCACGGTTCGTATTAATGTCGGTAATTTGTGGATAATGGAAATCTACGTCAGCTTATTGGCATTATATAATTTAAAGCAAAGAGCTGCCTATATGATGAATTAAAAAGCACTCATGATACGTAATGATCGCGGCATGTAATAGATACGTGAAGTTAATACAAAATTACAATCAAATAACCTGCTTTTATGCCGCAAAATGGTGCAATAGGTGAAATGCATGCTGGCAGGTCTTATTGGATTGTTATTGAAGAACAAAATAGTTTCATTCTTAAAACATTTTCGTAAATTTATTACTTTTCTGTATAAAATCTTGCTATTTTATGAAAAGAAAATTATAATTAGTAATAGCTCAGCTCTGTTCTGTTTTGATATACTTGTTCAAACTCAAAGAATTTTCCCGAAAATGGCGTAACTTACAGACACACACTGAACATCAAGAACGGGCAGCTGGATAAGCATTCGTATAGGATCTTCAAAAATATGTTTATTACCTCCCAAAATTGACCTAATATCATCGTAATTGAAACACTCTCGATTTTAATCTCATCGAAGTTTCAATCCATTTTTATGTTTAGATGAGCCGGCGCTTTGAAGAAGATTAGATACTTTTTATATAAAACCAAAGAGGGTTTGCAGTTTCCATTATGCAAACAAATTTATTTCACACCCACGCTGTTCCCTTACCCGGTGATCACCTCAAACGACGATTCGTCATTTGGAAAACATTGCCGCTATAGCACCATTTCTGTGTAGTATGGAATTCTAT